AGGATGTGGACCCGCCTTCCTATCCCCTCCTGGCAGCCTCAGGCCTGCACCTCCAACGCCAGCTGTCACGCAGGAAGCTGTGTCTCCGTTTCCCCTGCCTCCCTGCCCGGCTGGAGCTGCAGGATCATGGCCTGCAGAGTCTCCTTCACCGTCTGCAGCTCCCTCCTGAGAGACTGTGCATGTCGTTAAGGAAGGCATCCGAGGTGACCGAGGGGCCCGGCCGGCAGGCTCGAGGCAGTGCGCACCCGCCAGAAGCAGGTGGGCAGTGCCGTCTAACTGCAGTTTCAAGTTCTTCCAAATTGTAAGAGTTAAATATTAATATAAATTTTACATTTCTTCTTTTAAGAGCGATTGTAATTTCTGCAAGGCCTGAGGTTATACTGTCTCAAGTAAGGTTTCCAAGAGGAAAAGGAAGAGTCAACTCTTGGGCTTATATAGTTGGCCAGGTAGGGTGCGCTCAGTGGAATAGCCCCAAACTAGTGCAGCTGTCAGATCCCAGTGCTCTTTCAGGTCAAAGGGGCCTGATGCTAAAAATCAGAAGTTCCTCGAGAGAGCCAGAACTTGGGGCCACCATCGGTACAGAGAAGCACCCTGGACTGGATTCAGATTCATGAGTTCTGGTCCCTATTCTGTCCTACAGGGTCACTATGAGTCGGAATCGACTGGATGGCAATGGATTTGGTTTTTATTCAGCCCTGAAGCAGATGTGCACCTTGTGCAAATCACTTTGGACCTCAGTTTTCTAATGAAATGATACATTCTAAACCCCTCTAGACTCTAACCTGATGTGATCTGTTACTATACTCCCACCCCAAAATCCAATGCTGTCAAGTCGATTCCAACTCACAGTGACCCTACAGGACAGAGTAGAACTGCCCCATAGGGTTTCCAAGGAGTAGCTGGTGGATTCAAACTGCTGATCTTTTGATTAGCAGCCAAACGCAGAACCACTGCGCCACCAGGGTTCCATTATACCCCCAGGTACTAACATAACAGCTTCCAAGGTACTCAAGACTTGATGAGGGGGGCTGGACTTGCATTTTCTGGGTTGGTTTGTTTTCCCTTAAACCACTGGGCTTTTTGTTTCCTAGTGTGTAGAATAGTTTCTCATACAGAGAAAAAAATCAGAGAACTTTGCAATCTAGAAAAAATAAAATCTAGAATAAATAAGGCTGTCATTCTCTTAAGAAGCAGGCTTTCTTCTGGGTTTTTAAGTAGGGAAAGTTTCACCAACAGTGTCTCTTCTATCTACGCATAGTGAGGTTCTTCGCCCTTTCCTTTTGTAACTGCAGTCAGAATAATTCTCAGTACAGGTAAGAGACTGAAGTCCTTTAATTTAGCAAGCAAACCAATTCAAGCTCATCTCACAGGAACAAAAGGAAAAGTGCAAATATGTTGACAACTCTGACATATTGTTA